TGTTTTTGTGGCTCATGTTTGGATGAGGGGAGCGTGGGTAACAGCTGACAGAGAGATATTGAACCATCCCAGGACGATTCAGGCATGAATTTATTTATCAGTGGGGTCGAAGGGTGTTGTTGGCTCTCGCGAGATAAAAACATGGCTGACCACCGGCAATTAGCACCGAACACGCTCCCAACATTCCGCGGGAGCCTAGTGTTCACGTGGTGCATGTCCACCGATCGCTTACCCACATGTTATCCCTTCTAACGATTTTCTTTCCGCAATTTATAATTGTTCAAGTGACATGATGGAAATTACAGTTTCACACATTAATTACAAAAAAAACATTAATCACGGACTTGAAATCTGGATGTCTTCTTTTATAAATAAAACAAAAATTAAGAATTACGGAAGATTGTGGCTTCATGCATAAATTTCAGATAGAACCCATGAATTATTACATTCTTATTAAATTTTCATTCTAAATTCTTCAGGGGAAAATAAATTGTTCTCCCAATTTTTTTGATATTGCAGAATAATCTCTTGGTCTATTCCATGAATTCTGAAAAAGATTTTTAAAAAATTTATAATTGCCCAGATTATTTGGATATCCTGAAGGCATCGAGCTCTTAATTGGCTTGAGTTTCTCTTAATTCAAGCAAAAAAATCGTTGGAAATTCAGAAAGAAATTTTCAAAAATCCAGATCGATTCGAGAATAGTCAACTCTACGACGAAGTTGTATTTTTTATTAGATTTCTTATGTGAGGATAACATTCTTTATGAAGTTGAGTTCAATGTAGTGATACACAAAGGAATCTTCACCGGTGACCGAACTCCAGATTCCCGTGGAATCATTGAGATTTTTTTTCTTTTACGGAAAAATCGAGGAATTGGAATCGGTTGAATGGTGTGAGGGACAATGGATTCATTGTGGGAGGATTTTTATAGGGTTCACCCAGGCCTCTCTTTGTAGCAAAAATCGGGTAGGGGTGAAGAACCGGGGAAAGGATGGGGGAGAAAAAAATTGAGTCTACAACAGCTGCGAGTGCTCGGAAAAAATGGAAAATTGAAGGTGGAGAAGGCGATGAGGCGATGATGTATTCGCTGATTATTTCGTCAGTATCTCAGAAATGTTAGATGAACGTTATCAAGTAAAAATGCCACTGATTTTGATCTCGAGTCTCACGGACTTTCACTAAACCCTTCGAACAAGAAATTTTTATTACTCATTTTCTCCGAAAAAATGCCCAGTGCAGGGAGGCTATTCGTTAATGAAGCCCACGGCAATTAAAATTCCCTCAAATTTCAAGAAAAACGGTGACTGGAGGCATTTGTGTACTCCCAACGTAGAGCCAATAGAACCTTCCAGACGCTCCAGAAAACCCTACCGTCAAAGAGTTTCATTCATCTGTCGAGGAGAGCGGCAAACATCACTTGGTCGACTGACACACGTGTGCCCCAAGTATCACCATTGGCATTGTACAATCTCCCCAGGATTTATGTCCCTTTCGGCGCCGGGTCAAAAGCGCTACTGCTCACCAGAAAAGACATCTCATAATGTCAGTTCGTTACGGGTTTTTATGTTTTTTCAGATTTCCTTTTTTTTAACCCCACTTCAATACTTTCAGAAACACTATAATCACGTTCTTCTGCTCTTTCGCCCCGTTAATACCCGGTTAATGTTAATTATCTTTCACACTGAAACAGGCCTTCATTCAGGGGATTTTCAATTTTTAAAGATTTTTTTTGGATTTCTCTTTCGTAGAATTGAAATTTATTGAGATAAATGGCTTATTAGGATATTTATTAATTAAATGATGCATTGGAATTGACAACATTTTGATTATTTATGCAAATATTTTCGTTAATTCATTTTGTTTTGTAAGCAAAAATGTTTTCTGACATACTGTTAGAAATTTCAGTCACACGTCATCTGAATTTTCGATGTTGTGAGGTTGAATTCAATTTCAAATGAAAGCCCTCAGTAAATATCTCATTCATCTTGGAAATTCAAGAAAATTGGGTTTTTCATATTAAAGAATCACTGATTTTTCAATGAAAGCTTGAATTTTGAAACTCATCGTGCAAATTGGGCGTCACATTCAATTCAATTTTCAATAGATTGAGAATTCATAAAAGTTGTTACCTAAATTGCCAAAATTTTCGAGGTTTTTCAGTGCCGTGTGTAATTAACTGATTCGTCAGTGAATAAATATACAAAAATTACATGTAATTTTGTAATTGTTAAAAGCTTCAAGCTTTTCCACTTGAAATTTCAAGAGTAATTTTCTAACAGTGCTTATCCCTCTGGCATCAACAAATAACATTCCTTTAATCGTCACGATTTCGAAGAAAAGTGACATTGGTTGAGAAGAAAAGAGTCTCATATTGAGACTTTAAAAACTCTGAACTCACGAATTTCAGACTACAAATTAAGACTTTTGAAAATCTTACATTAAGACCTTTGAAAAGATAAAATTATTTATTATTTTTTGCACGTGTGATCATGAAAAATAAACGATGACACTCAAGGTTACGTTGGCTCATTCAACGTGCAATAAATTCTTCATATAAAATTTCTCATTGTCCGTATGATGACGAATGAAGACTCACGTTGCCCGCGCGGTATCCCCCACCGGTATTTTCCCCCCGACGTTTTGATATCTCCAATGCTCATCACGCGCATTGAACTGTAATAGACGTTGGCGATGAGGACTCATTGTTGGTGGATAAGTGTCGATTATCACCAGACTGAAAGGGTCGAGGCATCGTTAGCGTAGATTCTCCGTCTATTGACGATGCGTTTATGTTATTTATTCATTCTCACATGCTCCACCACTGCTGACCGACGTCAGAGGTGTCAGTGGGCTTGAAAATACCTCTCGTGAATCCACGGATGTCTTAATTGATGGGTTGGGCAGAAAAAAAATTGTGAACATTATGTCAGAATGATGTCAAATTATTCGAGATAAAAATTTGCGATGAAAAAGTGAAACTATGAGGGGATTTTTGTTGTTGATTCATTTGGGCGACGAGTAGTGGAATTCCCCCGACATTATCTCATGGGAAATTAGTTACGTGATGGGAATACGGAATGATGGGACGCGTGGTCAAGTGTCGAGAGGTGTCGAACGTCCTTTGAAGGTTGCGGGTCCCTCTGGTCTCAAACCGCTGAGAGATAGTGGAGGAAATTGTTGTGGGAATGGGGCACGTGATGGAATTCACGGTTATGTACAACGTATTGGTTAACATTTATGTTTGAATTATCAATGATTACGTTTCAAATTCGATATTGCACACAGAAAGATCCGACACTTTGGCCTCCGGTGAAAAATTTTTTTTTTCGTTTTTCACTTTTTCCACATACTTTTGATAGTTCTGAATAGCCCGTCGCTTAAATAGTTGGAATCAACGTTCACCCGGCTAAAAAATTCGATTTTGGCGAAAATCCACTTGCCCCGGAAAACCCGAAAATCTGACCCTTTGGCTGGGGCCAAAAAAAACGGTTTCTCAGTTTTCACTTTTTCCACATACTTTTGACAGTTCTGACTAGCCCGGCGCTTAAATAGTTGGAATCAACGTTCACCCGGCTAAAAAATTCGATTTTGGCGAAAATCCACTTGCCCCGGAAAACCCGAAAATCTGACCCTTTGGCTGGGGCCAAAAAAAACGGTTTCTCAGTTTTCACTTTTTCCACATACTTTTGACAGTTCTGACTAGCCCGGCGCTTAAATAGTTGGAATCAACGTTCACCCGGCTAAAAAATTCGATTTTGGCGAAAATCCACTTGCCCCGGAAAACCCGAAAATCTGACCCTTTGGCTGGGGCCAAAAAAAACGGTTTCTCAGTTTTCACTTTTTCCACATACTTTTGACAGTTCTGACTAGCCCGGCGCTTAAATAGTTGGAATCAACGTTCACCCGGCTAAAAAATTCGATTTTGGCGAAAAATCCAAGATCTGACACTTTGACCTTTTTCCCCCGAAAAAAAAGCCTAAATATGGCCCTTTGGCTGCGGGTGCAAAGAAAAAAAATTTTATTTCTGCTTTTCTGGGGCAAGTGAGGGGCGCAGTGACATTAGGCGGGCCAGAAAATACAGAATCAACGTTCACTCGGCGGAAAAGTTCGATTTTGCCTAAAGTCGACTTTCCCCTGAAAAATCCAAGATAACACTTCGGCCCCAGGTGAAAACAAAATTTTTTTATTTCGACATTTCCGGCGCCTCCGAGTGTTTCAGGAGCATCAGAAACGTTAATCGTTATAAAAATTAAGGAATGTAATCGAAACTAACTTTTATTTTTGAGGCCTTCCAGAGGCTCGAATAAGCCTTGACGTACTGAGCTTCAATACTCAAAGCCTGGGCTAGGCCTGAATTGAACCTCGGCAATGGCCCCTTGAATCGCCCTCATTTCAGGCTCGAGTGAACGATGAAATCACGCCCGTCCCAGGCCTGAGTCACTGACCCTCGCAAACCTAGGCTCGCACAGACTTGTTTCCATCGTCAGCCTATATAATTCCTACCTGGGAAATACGCTTTTTTAAAGCTTAAATTCCGATTTTTATGACGGAAAAAAAGCCACCGGACATCATATTGACGTTAAGCGTAAATTACATATATCAAAACGTAATTTACGTTTCGGTTTTTCTGTGTGTGAATTTGAACGATTATAAAGCTTCCATTTAGCAGGAAAAATTGTATTTTCCAATTTTTTCTGTATCAGAGCGATGGGGAGTAGGGGGAGGGTAGCAATACGCATATATCTAGAATTTTCATCATCTTGTTTTTCCCCAAATCTCTTGTGATGTATTCTATTCATCTAGAAAATATAATAATTGATGATTAATGAATGAGTTTTCTTTGCGACGCAAAATGTCCTATTTCGTTTCGTATTTGTTATCGGTAATTGTTCGCAATTATCCACCATTTTCCCTGTCTTATCTTCAAACAAGCCGTCTGTTCCCAATCGTATGTGCGTAGCTAGCGGTAAAAATAACACGAATTACAATAACTTCCTCCCTTCGGGTCGGGAAGTTAAAAATTATTGGAAGACAAAAAATAATTTCTTACAAAAATTCAAGTGCTGATAACGTAATTTTTTTTGGTATTTCTGGTGATATTTTCACGTATTTCTGATCATTTTTTTTGAGGGATCTGCGAAAATTACATGTCAACGGAAAAAAAATTACTATTTTCTGGCTTTTTTTGCCCCCGCTGTAGGGTGAACAAGACCTAGAAAGGGGATTCCGCTCCGTGTGTTTGGTAATTTTTCTTCATTTTTTCCTCCGTATGTTATTTATTCATCCGGCAGAAAATAATTAAAAATAGTCTAAGAGAATAATTAAAAATTAAATTGTTAAAAAACAATGATTAAAAATTAAATTGACAAATATGTTTTCCATGCAATGGAATTTTCGTAATACAAAAATAGGCAAGGAAGGTGCAACATTGTTTTGTACTCTGTTTATCGATAATTATTGGTCTTATTAGTGAAAGAGTAGGTCAAAAAAATCATTATAGTCCGATAACGAGCATGAGTACTTACTGTGCAAGTTGTTCTGAGCATATAAAACTCTCACAGCAGTCTGTTCTTTCTTCATTCGTCAACTGTATACCAAGTTGGGAACTGTCGCATTGTCGCGAAGAACTCGTGCCTTTTCCATACCGAAATGGCATCCAAGCTCAATATCATACGGATTTTGGTGGTCTGCATGATGATCATTCCGTACATAGCGGTGGTCAACGGGCAAGATGGCCGTCAGAGACGTAAGCCAATATATATAATTTTTTGAAATCATTTGGTAGTGATGTTGAATGTTGAATTCAGTAGCGAAGTGGTAAAACGGTACAAGTCAATTTGGACTATTCACCGGTTTTTAATGAATATCCCGAAATCTAAGGGCGATAGTAAAATTTTTGTCATAACCTTTTTTGTAGAGCCGATTGAGAGCTACGACAAATGTAATTACGAAAATTTCGTTACTCCCTTAGAGTCCGAAATATTCCTCAAAAACTCAACTGGGAGATGAGTCGACTTAAAGTAGCTCTATTCAAAGATTATTGATAACTACAAAAAAATTGCAGAAAACTCGATTAGATTCGGAATTCTAATTTTTTTCTCAATTTAATTATCGTTTTGGTTTTTCAAAGAAGAAATGTTTGAGAAAATATCAATATTTTGCGAAATTTAATTTAGATAATACTGACTGGGTATGAATGTTTTCAAATTTTTTCCATGCAATTTAGTTGAAAAATTTAAAAACTGAAAATATCCAAAAGCACAGTGTAGCCCGGCCGAAGGGTAGAGCTACTTTAAACCGGTTTACCACTTCACTACTAAATTAAAATCACTTGGATTGGGGTTTAGTTGTACAGGTAAACTTATATTTGATGGAATTATTCATCAGTAGACTCTTAAAAAATGCAGTTGACCAGTTTTCGATTGAACTACTCTGATTCATTTATTCTTCTTTTAGTATGTGAAACCCCTGCCGATTGCGGAGAAGAACCTTGTCCTCCAGGCGTCGAGAAATTATGCCACGCAACTTTTAATATACCTCCAAAAATATGCCTGTGTAAGGTGGAGTAATGACCACCATAATGTCCACGGTAGCAACGAGGCAAATGCAATATGCAAAGTATTTGAACTTTGACTGTTCAAGTTTCCAAATGAATTATGTCAATCGCTTCCATGCATATTTCTAAATCTCCTCCTCCGAGCAATAGTGCCGTTATATTATACAAAATTAAATTGGAAGAATGAGAAATAATTAAATCCTTACAGAATATCTCGTCACCATGAGTTTTTTTCTGAAAATTAAGATTCCAATTTCCTTCTATGGGGCTTCTTATGAGAGAGTTTTCACCCGTGTTTTCTGCGGGTGAAAAAAGAAATTTTTTATTTCTGCATTTCTGGGGCAAGTGAGGAGCGCAGTGGCATTAGGCGGGCCAGAAAATACAGAATCAACCTTCACTCGGCGGAAAAATTCGATTTTGGCGAAAGTCGACTTTCCCCTGAAAAATCCAAGATGACACTTTGGCCCCAGGTGAAAAAAAAATTTTTTATTTCGACATTTCCGGCGCCTCCGAGTGTTTCATGAGCATCAGAAACGTTAGTCGTTATAAAAATTAAGGAATGTAATCGAAACTAACGTTCATTTTTGAGGTCGTGCCGAGGCTCGAATAAGCCTTGACGTTGCCTTGAAGCTGAGCCTCAATACTCAAAGCCTGGGCTAGGCCTGAATTGAACCTCGGCAATGGCCCCTTGAATCGCCCTCATTTCAGGCTCGAGTGAACGATGAAATCACGCCCGTCTCAGTCCTGAGTCCCTGACCCTCGCAAACCTAGGCTCGCACAGGCTTGTTTCCATCGTCAGCTTATATAATTCCTACCTGGGAAATACGCTTTTTTAAAGCTTAAATTCCGATTTTTATGACGGACAAAAAAGCCACTGGACATCATATTGACGTTAAGCGTAAATTACATTTATCAAAACGTAATTTACGTTTCGGTTTTTCTGTGTGTGAATTTGAACGATTATAAAGCTTCCATTTAGCAGCAAAAATTGTATTTTCCAATTTTTTCTGTGTCAGAGCGATGGGGAGTATGGGCATATATCTAGAATTTTCAGCATCTTGTTTTTCCCCAAATCTCTTGTGATGTATTCTATTCATCTAGAAAATATAATAATTGATGATTGATGAATGAGTTTTCTTTGCAACGCAAAATGTCCTATTTCTTTTCGTATTTGTTATCGGTAACTGTTCGCAATTATCCACAATCTTCCCTGTCTTATTTTCAAACGAGCCATCTGTTCTCAATCGTACGTGCGTCGCTAGCGGTAAAACTAAAAAGAAAAATTATTGATATACAAAAAATAATTTCTTACGAAAATTCAAGTGTTGATAACGTAAATTTTTTTGGTATTTCTGGTGATATTTTCACGTATTTCTGATCAATTTTTTTGAGGGATCTGCGAAAATTACATGTCAGCGGAGAAAAAAATTACTATTTTCTGGCTTTTTTTGCCCCCGCTGTAGGGTGAACAAGACCTAGAAAAGGGATTCCGCTCCATGTGTTTGGTAATTTTTCTTCATTTTTTCCTCCGTATGTTATTTATTCATCCGGCAGAAAAGAATTAAAAGTAGTTTAAAAGAATAATTGAAAATTAAGTTGTTAAAAAACAATAATTAAAAATTGAATTGACGAATATGTTTTCCATGCAATGGAATTTTCGTAATACAAAAATAGGCAGCGAAGGTGCAACATTGTTTGGTACTCTGGTGATCGATAGCTGCTATTGGCTGTCCATAATTTTTGTTTTATTGGTGAAAAAGTAGGCCAAAAAAGTCATTATAGTCCGATAACGAGCATGATGATTTACTGTGCAAGTTTTTCTGAGCATATAAAAGCCACACAGCAATCTGTTCTTTCTTCATTCGTCAACTGTATACCAAGTTGGGAACTGTTGCATTGTCGTGAAGAACTCGTGCCTTTTCCATACCGAAATGGCATCCAAGCTCAATATCATACGGATTTTGGTGGTCTGCATGATGATCATTCCGTACATAGCGCTGGTCAACGGGCAAGATAGTCAAATAAGATGTAAGCCTATATATATAATTGTTCTGCTGCAAGTAAAGAGTAAAAAATCCTTTTAACACCGGTTAGTGTTGAACTAACGCCTGATTTCACATATTTCGTGTTATGGTGAAGTGTAATTTCAACAACGCAACTCCACACCGAAAACGGTGTGGACTCAATACCCAATTTTTCATCTACGGTGGAGATGTCGATTTCGGAAATCATTTGGTAGGGATGTTCTCTCGATAGAGTCGTAAGAATTCAGTAGCGAAGTGGAAAACGGTACAAGTCAATTTTGACTATTGACCGGTTTTCAGTGAATATCTCGGAATCTAAGGGAGATAGCAAAATTTTTGTTATAACCATTTTTGTAGGGCCGATTGAGAGCTACAAAAAATGTAGTTACAAAAATTTCGCTATCTCCCTTAGAGTCCGAAATATTCCTCAAAATCTCAACTGGGAGATAAGTCGACTTAAACCGGTTTGCCATTTCGCTACTAAATTAAAATCGCTTGGGTTGGGGTATAATTGTACAGGTAAACTTGTATTTGATAGAATTATTCATCAGTAGACCCTTAAAAAATGCAGTTGAACAGTCCAACCAGATTGAACTATTCTGATTCATTTATTATTCTTCTTTTAGATTGTGAAACCCCTGCCGATTGCGCAGCAGAACCTTGTCCCCCAGGTGTCGAGAAACTATGTCACGCAGTCTTTAATATCCCTCCAAAAACATGCCTGTGTAAGGTGTCGTAATGACGATCGTATTGGTATATGCATGGCAGCAACGAGGCAAATGCAAAGTATTTGAAAAAAACTTCGACTCTTCAAGTTTCCAAATGAATTATTTCAATCGCTTCCATGCATATTCCTAAATCTCCTACTCCGAGCAATAGTGTCGTTATATTATACAAAATCAAATTGGAAGAATGAGAAATAATTAAATCCTTACAGAATGGCACGTCACGATGAGTTTTTATTCTGAAAATTAAGATTCCAATTTCGTTCCATGGGGCTTCTTATGAGAGAGTTTTCTCCGTGTGGTTCATCTGTGTCCTCGATGAAAATGCTTTATCCGTCAGGGGATGTGAGTCGAAGAATCTTCCTAAGCTAGAGGCTTTTGGGCCCTCTTTTCTCGATTTTTTTTTTGATACACATAGATGTATTTTTCTTTAGACACCTGAATTCGCCAGCTACACTGTTAGAAAATTACTCCTGAAAAATCAGTTGAATTCTGGATGATAATGAAAATTATTAAATAATTTGAAAATTCAAGCAGCAGTTTCCTTGAATTTTCACTTCACTGAATTCCCAATATTGAGAATTCAAGTGCAACTATTGCTTAATTCTCAAAAAATTTCTAACAGTGTACTGCCGAGAGAAGAGAGAAATGAAACGAGGCAAGAGAAGAATGATCAAAGTTGAAACGACAGGAAAGAAAGTCGATGAGAGGGAAACTTTTATTGGAAAAAAATCTGTACTTTCGTCTGACCCACACCCATATTTAACTACTTTTTTAGTAGATCATGAATACTCAATGTTGATCAACAATCTGTGCTTCATTAATTATTCTTCTCTAACATCATATCATTCTTAAGATTATTCTTTTTTTGAGACATCTTATTTTCGTAATTCATCGCGCACCGACGAATGACGAGTTGAAACGGGAGAATGTTTCTGAAATTGGCTCTCGTCTCGTGGCATCTCTATAAAAATTCAAAACGACCGACCCTTAGGTGGGAATGAAGGGTTGAATTCTCGATCTAGCATCCTAGAACCAGACAATAGAACCTCATAATTCAGAATTGGTCCAAGAACCCACGCCCATCGAAGCCAAAAGACTGGGGATATTTCATCACATCTGTATGCATATCCTCCTACATCAGGAGAGCCCCACATTGACCCCTTGGCGAGGGAGGGGGGAGAAGAGGAACGCATACGTCGAACTTGGCATTCGGCTGTTGTGGGTTTTTGCGAGCCAGATAAAAAAATATATGAATGAGAGATTTAAAAAAAAGGGAGTGGAGAGGGCGCCGAGGGTGAGCATAAAGTATCCCCAGAACGATCGTAAAACATGTGATATCATCTTGGTGGCCGACCGCCAACTTGGGGGCTTTTGTTTCCCTCTTGTGAGTTGTGTTGTCGCCATTGTTTTCGTTCTTTATCTCGTACGAAAAACTCGAAAATTTCCGTTGCCAAAATATTTACTCTCGGGCATTTGTTTTTTGGTGGAGAATATTTCTTTGGGTGTTGAGAAATTTGAATGATGCTTTGATCGAGGGAGACTTGTGCTTGGATACGGAGAGAAATAACCGGGAATTCATGTGGGGACATTGGAAGAGGAGTTCTAGTGCTGTATAAAAATGAGGAGAGCGTCTGCATCAGAAAATTTGCTGGTTTTGTGATGGAAACTATTTTATTTGTAGTACAAGAATTATTTGACTGTCAAGGAACTCTGAAAACCATAGATATTACTATTAGATTGATGAAGGCCTGACATGAGAAATACTTTTACACTCATCTATGTTAAACTTTAAATATAGTACTCCTGATAGTGCTATATTTAAAGTAACGAAAATTAACAGTTGAAAGATCGCTTTTCTCATGCAATATAGTCAACCATTTAATAAAAATGAATGGAGCATATGTGTGCTCACTAAAGCACCATTTCATTCCATTTAACGGGAAAAAAATTATAAAAATTTCACTTTTCTTAGAAAAAAAATGAATTTTCATGCTGAGAAGAAAAATTTGTGGCAAACAAATTCATTTCGACAAGACTTTAAACTGAGATGTTATGTGAAAATTTTAGGCATTTGATTATTGATTGAATTTTCAATGAAACATAAAAATTCAGGAACAAAATCACATGAATTTTAAATTTTTCCCTGAATTTTCCTGATTTTTTGAATTTTTATGGAATGATTGAACTGAAAAATCAAGCACTTTATTGATTTTCAGATCATTCGAACAGAAAATTAATGGAATATTAAACATGATAAAAATTTCAGGGATTTCACACGGAAAATTTTTAACAGTGTATGCGTCAATTCCTCATTTGACACCTGTACTGTGCACCCCGCCAACAATTTCCGAATGAAATCCCCACAGGTAATTACTGTCTGTCACTCGTTCTCAGCCAACCAATAAGATTTTCCACACTCATTGAGTGTCACGTGTGGGTAGACAGCGTCATAACACCAGTTTTTATCCCACCTGGAAGATGCTAACGCAAGAATTTCTACGTCTGGTGACCCTTAAACACTTGTACTTTATTCCAAGCGAAATGGAGTTTAATATACACGTGAGGATTTTATACTCCAGTCTTTTATGCAGTAGCTACTACGAAGGAGCATGTCCGGGTCACATGTGCCCGCAACACCAGCCCCTCTTCTTTTTCTGAATGTAAATGCATACGCAGGACTCGACTTACCGGTAAGAGAAGAGGGGCTCGATGAGAAATCCGATGTTATCGATGTTGTGATCTCTCGCGTTGTTTTTTTATTTCAACCTATGAAGGAGGTAAATGACTGAATACATTTCTTCGTTTATTCGTTCCATTCTTAGACGGAAAAAATTAATTTAATCTTCAAATTAATTTTTTATTTTGAAGAATTCATTGATCCTACACTGAGAGATAAAATTAATTATTCCCCTGAAGAAATTTTTGTCGTATTGAATTAAATAATTTGTGGACAAAAAAGTTTCCACCAAAATATGATAATTTGCGTAGTTGTAATTGTTCTCGTGAGACAGTCATGTCTTTCGGGTAAATTCATTCGAATTTTTTGTGAAAGTTATTAAATTTCCATCTATCAAGTCGGCAAAGCCAATTCCTCTCAGTGTAAAGTACTAAAGAAAATTTCCAAATTTACGAACAAGTTAATCTTCGAAATGATTAACCTATTTACTCATCATTTGAATTAATTCCATTTGCTCATTTTTCATAAATTTCTCCGAATCAAAAAGAAAAATTTCAATCATTTTCATTATCATGATGATTATACCGAAATGAGATAATTATCAATAAAAGACAGGAAATCGACTCAATCCATTGAACTCCATCCTCTCTCTCTCCGAAATCATCAACTTTTTGTCCATCTCTTGATGCCTACCAAGAGGGCAACAGGATAAATATGTATACCCACATGTACATATTTATCGTCGGCATTTCATCCAAAAGTTCCTCCACGTGACTGGCGAATAAAAAAAACCCGAATCAACGATTCTCAAGGCTCACCGTCAGCAATAACAAATTGCCCAGTAGTCCTGGTACAATGTACGCAGACGTATTGTCCCTGCAGATCTACAGCGCATGCGCATGTGTCCATCCTGCGCTGGGACGTATGCGCAGGGGCAGTGATTAATTGGTCCTGAGACGACGGTGGAGACGAAAAAGAAGGGCTCGGAGAGGGACATGGACACATTTTTTTTTCAGTCGAGATATTTGCATGTCAAGGCGGATTGATGGCATCTTTTGGATTTGTGTAGGTGCACTTGAGCATCTCAGGCGCACCCCAACAGCTGAAATTTCCATTTCGACATTTTACTTTCAAATATATGCATTCGCATTCTTTTAAAGGGATTCATGAAAACGTGAGCGGTGAGGGAGGGGTATTATCATTATTCTCTTTTTTCAGTTTGAATGCCGAATTTATTTATAACATGCGGAGGGATATTTTTATTCAACTAAATGGAGTTGAATGCACTTGAGAATTATTTGGTGGTAGAGATAAGATATCGAACAAACGCCGGGCTTTTTTAATAAAATGCCATTGCACTGGTGAAAATTTTAGACTTCTGGTGAAAATTTTAGACCGATATGACAGACACACAAAGGAGTCACTTTTTTCGGGATAATTTTTCTTTTTGAAATTTCTCCTGTAAAAAAAATTAATTAATGGAATTTTAAAACTCATGATTTTTCTTTCTTAAATCGAAGTCAATGTCGCTATGCTGAAAATTTCTACTAAATCGCCGGTAAAATTTCAATTTCCACCGTGTGATTTCATCAAGTTCACAAAATTATCCTACTATCGCGGGATATTTTTACTGTGAGAGACCTGAAGAGCCCCAATTTATTATTAATGACGGATAAATCCCAACCCATTCAATTTGCACTCGTCAATTTCCATCGATTAACCACAACGTTTTGACTAAGTCCCCGTGAAAATATTTATCTCCATCGTTAAGCACACATTCAAGACATCTCTTCGGTGTACAATAGAAGCATCGATCAGCCATAAGCTCGAATGCAGCGTGCATTAATCTTGATCGGTAACGCTGGGATCGCAGGCATTTGTGAGGAACAAAAACATCACTGGTTTTCTGCGTCGTTGATTTAATATTTATATCTGATATAAATTACTATTATCACGTGATTAACTGTAACGCAATGCATGAAACCTTCGAATTTCTTCGATTATTGAGCTCCAATTTCTTTAATTATTGAGTGACCTCAAATTTCGTCAATTTGGGATTGAAATAAGATGTTGGGTCGGCAGAGTTTTAATACAAAATTTCGGAAATAAGAATTTCCAGAAAATGTGATTACACAAGTGTGAATGTGATTCTCTCGGGACAAGAGACTCTCACCCTGCTGGAAAACTTTTTTCGCTCAGTTTGAGAACGAAATTAGACGAGAGAATATTTTCTTGTATCAAGTTAACCTTTTTTTTTTCCAAAAGTAGTTTTTTCTCTGAGCGTATCCTTCTATTCTGATTATTTTCATTGTATTTTGATATAGATTGATTGAATTTGCTGATTCACTGAGTTATACTTTCACATTTATCGATACAATATACTGTATTGTTCATATTTTCACGATTTTTTAAGTTAAATTCATTCCTATGCAGAATGAAAATATTTATTAAATGTTCAATAACTGTTGATCTTCACGTGTGTTATTTAGACCGGTAACAAAAAAAATTTACCGGAAAAATCAGACAACAATTTTCAACAGTTCA